TAAAAAAAAAAAGATATATTTCACGTACCTACGTCGTTTCAATTACACGAGCAAGAGAATCGTGCGAATCGAGAGACGAAGGTCGCCTCCGTCTCTCTCGCGCCTCTTCCGCACACTAAGTACATATTTTAATCCGCACCGCGTAAATTTCCTCTCTCTTTCTTGTCTATCACCCATCACTAACCGCCCCTTCGCGGATCTCCCTCTTCGTGGTTGTAACTGTGTTGCCCTCTCTCCACTCGCTCACACTACTGACAATCATTCGGAAGTTCACTCCCGCGTTTCGCGTTTCGCGTTCGCCGTTCCTCCTAGGGTAAATATCCTCGCACGTATCATTTAGGGATCTCAATCCGGCTGTCTCGATTGCATATGTAGATAACGCTTAGACCACTTCGTTGTTGTATCGATGTAACGTAAGAGTAGCGCGTGTGCACGTTTTGCGTGTGCGTGTGTATGTGTACGTGTATATAGCTCGTAAGTAGAATTCAGTCTGTTTGGTGTACTCGCGTACGCGTACGGGTACCAAAGTCCTACGCGATCACTTCGCGAGTCAAAGAGAGACTACCTGCAACCGCGCGTCTCTCCCGTCCGGACGACTATCTGCAAATCCCGCGCGATTCGATCGTCAGCTGAGTGCGCTCTCTCTCTTTCTCTCTCTTTCTACATCGCTGTTCTATCGAGATCGGCGTAGAACTTGCTGTAACGAGAAATCGAACGGGCGTCACTCGGCTCGTTCGTTGAAACGAGAGGAAAGGAAAACAAGAAAAAAAAACGGCCAATCGAGCGTCCTGTCCCGAGGGGAGGACGACGAAGAAGCAAAAATAAGAGAAACACGAGGCGGACGAGCGTCCCTGAACGGGGACCGGCGGAGGAGTGAGGACAAGGGAGGGTACTCGTTCAAGCTGTGGTGGCCATCGTACGAGTGGAGCCGATCGTGCAAAACGGAAACCGCTCGCTGCCAGGCCGCGTCGGTGGAACGTGCCTGCTGGAACGCACAGGAACGCGCACGGACCCTCTGGGGCCTGCAGCAGTCGTTCGCGGCCGCTACGAGCCGCAATTTCTTCCTGCATCCTACGAGCAAATCCTGGCTCGCGGAGACGATCATCGGCGCTGACGAGACACGTTCCCCCATCACCACGTATTTTCATTCGTACCCGTTCGTCCCGGGTGGTGCGGTGCCCCTGCCCCCGCCCCTGCTAAACGGCATTAACAATCCGGCGGCAGCAGCGATCACCCCGGGGCTGGTAGGACATCTCTTTGGTGCTCAGCAGGCCTGCAACCTCGCCTGCACTTGCTCTTGCAACATCGTTGCTAACTGCAACCCCCATCATCAACACCACCATCAGCAGCAACAGCATCAGCAGCATCAGCAGCAGCAACAGCAGCAGCAGCAGCATCACAGGACACTCGGTACCACGGCGGTCCTGCTGCAACCAGTTGATCATATCAAAGACACTATGGTGAGTCCACCTTTCTTCGCTCAATCGTTGCCACGAGGAATTCTGCCGAAGGTTAGTCCATCTTCTCTGACAGTACAATTATCTAGCGGTAGATCTGAAAATTTGGATCCAATCGTGTATCTTCTTCGTACGATTCATAGCAATTATCGTATCGAAAACGCTATGAAGAATATATTCTGCAGCTATTATTATTTGATTCGAAATAACGTTGAATAACGAGAGTCTTGTTTATTTCTTTTTTCACTCTTGTAAATAGCCGATAAAAATTTTGCGATAATTAGCTTGTTAGATGATTGTTAGTCGTCGACCATCCAATTTGCGTCTTCTCGTGCAAACAACGTCGATCGCGCGGAGAATCAGTTGCCTCTCGCGTCTTGATCGCGCTATATTCGCGATCTTGACAATGGCGCTATACCCGGTGCCCCCGGTGGAAATCCCCCGAGCATCCGCGTACTCTCCGCGTGTCTCCGAAGACAAAGCTCTCATGGGAGTTCCTCGGAGGTAACGAACCCTCGACAGCCAGTAACGAGGATACTTACTGCCGGGCACGAGTAATACTCCCGTGCACGGCGGAGGATAGAGGCGATGAATCAGGAATGGATTTAGTCGCGACGAGCCACGATGAATTACTTCCTACGTTTGCCGTGTAAACAGGGGGAGTATCCTCACCGAAAACCCGGGAGCTTGGCGTGAATTCGCTACCTCCGTTTACGCTCTCGCTCCTTCTTCTTCTTCCTCTTCCTCTCTTGTGCTTCTCCTTTACCGCCGCTCGGTAAACGTTTCGCGGGGAGCACGGACGGCGCTTTAAATCCCGGACTGTCTACGGGGGCATCCTCTTTAATCCTTCGATCGACAGGTGTCGAGCAATAGTGGAGGAGAAGGAGCGAGAGAGAACGTGAGCGGAGGCGTCCCGCCTCGCGACGTGACATCCCGCGATCGAGAATCCCGAACAAACCTACCCTTTCCGCCTGATCGGATGATCGCGCCGCTCGTCGATCCCCGGCACGAGAACCTAATTTTCTCACCCGTTTCCCGCATCCCGGGCTCTTCGCCACCGCCTCTCTCTCTCTCTCTCTCTCTCTCTCTCTCTCTCTCTCTCTCAGCCTCTCCGCCGTCGTTCCGTCTCATCCACCTCTTCGTGCCCGAGTTGCGCCGCGCCTCGTCAAGCACGTAGCGAAAGAATCGCATTATTGCCGGCGGCATACAGCGCAGTCGATATTCTACAGTTTCTCTCTCTCCCCCTCTCTCTCTTTATATATACATATACACACCCCCATACGCGCGTTTAATTGGCGCACGTGTAATCTCCATCCACAGTTGTTGGAACGCGGAACTTGCCGCGAGTGTGGGAGTGTGGGAGTCAAGACGGGCATGTCGGATGGGATCGCGAAGTTTGCCTACCACGATCATACGTAGAGCTTCGAGATCTCGCCAGATAGTTCGAGCTCGAAGTGCGAATCTAATTTGGTAATCATTCGATCTGTTGGAACACGTACTTCTGTGTACCGCCAGAAAATTTCCCATTTCACTGTGCTCGGTCTCGGTGTTGCGAATTAAAAATCGTTATATGTGGTCGCTGAATATTCGTACGATTATTCCGCCAGTTTCCGCCTCCTACGAACGGATCGCGCTCGAGAATGTTAAAAAGAATAGTCGTTACCTTCTTGACGGGGGTCGTTCGAATGCATCGTTCGCGGAAAGATTTACACGCTCTCCGGATTTGTGCGAGTCGCGATTTTACGACGTTTAAAATAAACCGGCAAGACGTCACTCAATATCCCTTCTTTTATTCTTTTCGCGTAGGAAAAATCTGTCGGCGTTGCTGCGGAAGGATTACATTTCTTTTGACAATTGATCGACCTATGTTTGCCATTGCGTGAATCTCAGATCTGACAAAATGCTACTGAATATACATATATTCTACCTAATAAAGATTAATGCTGGTTAGGCTCTTGTAATTCATATATGTACATCGATGTACAAGTAAAATACACTTGCAATCGTCAGTTCCTCTAATTTTTTAGGCTAATATTAATATCACACGGAATTGTTTTTTATCTTTCAACTTTTTCGTGCAAATTATAATTTGTAGCGCTTAGAAATTTTTGTTGACATTGTGATCCTTTAAGTAGTCGTCGAGACCGTCTCGGTAGCAATTGCTTTCGCATCCCGTCAAGCGAAGTAATTATGTTAAGTGCCTCGTTCAAGCTTCCGTTTTGAATGACGCGCGACTCATTTCGTAACGATATGTGGGAGTTTTCCCCTTTTTCCCCATCCCGTTCTTGCGCCCCTTTTCACGTGTACGTTTCCGATAAAATGGGTCATCCTGTCCCACAATGAATGTATCTACGGTTCCTTCCTCCTTTCGTTGGATGAGACTCGGAGGAAATGTCAACAGAGCGACGTTGGAGATGGGGAAGAGACGCGGAAAGGGGAATGCGCGCACTCGACGGAAATCTCTTTGGAAATCTGCTTTCTTGCTCGTTATTGCAATATTCCTCGCGGGCGCACTCGTTTAATGTAACACGCGTATTACGTCGGAAATGGCATGCGCGGCGAACGGAACGTGTAGCAGTGTCAGAGAGATTTGATTGAATTTTATTTGAAAGGGACAGACTCTTGGCAGGAGGCAGGGTAAGGTGCAAAATACTATACGCGCACGTCTTTCAGGTTTACCTTCCGTAAACATTTTTCAGGATTCAGCTTTCTTTCGTAGGAACGTTGCAATAACTTCATTCTGTCGATTCTCCGCAAAACGCGAAGTGGAACAACGAATATATCGATTTTTGGTAACTTAATGCAACCGAATATGCATTTTACTGTCATTTAATTAATAACTTACTCGAAAACACGAGATAAGAGAAGTCTTTAATACGATTGATTCATCCTGCTTTCGCGATTATTTGATTTGACCCGTTCTGAAATTTTTTAAACCGGGAAAGACACAAGTGCTTACATATCTTCGTTTTAATTTTTTTCTTGCGTTTGACGTAATCGTCAATAGATAGTTGCAGGTCCATATCCGCAAATTAAATCAGATAACACGTCACTTTAAACGAAGCGCCGTTGTTAATCAAAACGGAGTGTCGCCACGGGAGATATAATTATCGGACGTCGTAGTCGCTTTTGAGCGATCCCGAAACCACCGGGCTTTTCCCACACGTACGTAATCCTTTCTCCGTTCTTACCCTTCCCTTTCCAAACGAGATACCACCATCAACCCGGTTTAATCGCCCCCTCGTATTCAGTCGGCGAGTTCGCCGAATGATTCGCAACTCCGTGCGCCAGCGTGCAGCGGCACGGGTGAAAAGCTGGCGACGCGTCGAAATGAAAATGGACGTAAACTCCCGGACGAGAACCGTTTCGGCGCGACTTCGTGCATTCAACCCCCGTGTCTTTCCCTGCCTGCCTGTCTTCCTGCGCGCGTTCACTAAGTGTGACGTGTGCATCAACCCGCCATCGCCAAATCCGATATCACCATATTGCACCGATCGGAAACTCACGAGCGCCGGAAAAAAAATTGAAACTTTTCCCGTTACCTAAGATTTCGTAAGGTTCGTTCTCCATTTGTATTTGTTACGGTGCTAAAAAAGAAAATTAAAAATTAGATTTAGAAAATAAAGAAATTTTATTATTCTTTTCTTTGCGTATAGGTCCGAAGCTTGTTTTTTAAACGTATTTCTCGTGCCGAAACAATGGCGGTGGCGTTTTCGTTTTAAGCCCCCTGGCTTCTCTGAAATTCACCTTGCGCCCACTTTCGCGCGTTAAAGCGCGAAAATATTGTGTGTACCGGGCGCCATAATGACCAGGATAATTTTGTCCCGTTTGAGTATACATAATTAGAGCGACGTCATACGTGACATAATGTGCGCGCTAACATGTAGCCGCACGTGGAGCGCACATAAGCTCGGTAAACTCCACCGTGGTATATTCATCAGGAAACTTGTGTCCAACAGTTTCTCATGCCAAGTTAAATTGTAGCGAAGAACCGCCCGCTTGTGTTGCAACCGCATTGACCGACCGTCACATAAGCCTTGCTCACACGTTACTCATGCTTCTTCGGGAATTCGGAAGTTTGGGTCCCACGTTTGACCGAGCTACCCGACACACGCTCGTCTGGCGTTTTCGATTAGTCCAAACCAGGCCCTGATCGATCCTTTCATATTGCAGATATTTGGGTAGGAAATTTATTTGAATAAAGGGACCGCGATAATATTTATCCGCGTATATAATATGACAATCTGCAATTAAATAGCAGGATTTGTCTTCTCGACTTTTTTATTATCTCGGAATTCTTTTCTATTTTATTTTCAGAGTTTGATTATTATCGTTTAATCACGATAGAAATTTCACTTGATAAAAAGTTTGAATCGCTGTGCAAATTACAGAAACGAAGTAGACAGAATCGAACAAGAAAAGAAGGATTAAGGAAATGAACGAAAGGATTCTATTATCTCTTCTGCGAAACTCTTTCATTCGGTAGTAAACGCGGTAATAATCTCTCGGGCGTAATCGTCCCGCAATGCATTAAGATCGTTGTAATACGGTGTGTTGATCCGGGTATGTGTTCGCTTGCTCACGTCGAATTCGTACTTTACGATTCCGAGGCGATGCGGCCTCTCGATGTGGCCCCCGATGCAGTTCGATGCGCCGCTGAATTTCGCCACCGGCACACCGATTCTCTTCTTTACGAGCCGGCGAAGCGCAACGGGGCGCTCTCTTTCTCTCTCTCTCGCAGGCGGTCGAGTTCCGAGTTCCGACGCGCGACACGGTTTTATCGGCGATATCCTACGAGTCGGCGCTCGTATCTTTCCTGCTTCCCCGTGTTCCGGAATATAAAAAGATCGCGACGGGGTGAATCGCGCGCGCGCGCAAAAAGCGACTGACAATTGATAATTCGTCGGAAGCTTTACGTGCGCGCGCGAGACTGGAGTTTTCCGTTCATTGGACGTCCGGCGTGCGTTAACCGAATCGTAAAATTTTACGAGAAAGTGCAATTCGGTGCTGTTGGGTAAAGAATAAATCCCACGCAGTGTCGATATGCACCTGCG